AATATGCATCCTCATTCATTCTAATATTTTTTGTGAAATCTATGTCTTTTAGTCTCAAACTATGTGTTGTGGTCTTTCTTTTATGTATTGCATTATGATGTTTTGTGAAAAACCTGTAAGTGATGGAGAAAAATGGATATCATTTTTGGATTTAACATATAGGTCTTACTGTAGAACTTGTAAAAATTTCTAGAAAATAAAACCATTGCAGGCCTGTGTTATTAGGGGCTAGCATTGCCAGATCATATTGTTCCATGTCATGAGATGTGCTGAGCAATCAGTTTCATGATATGTGATTGTTTTATTGGCCATAAAGTGCAATTAATTGGAATCAACCAACATTACTTAAGTAACTTTTTGACTATTAAAAAAATATTTGACTTTTCTCATGTCTGAAATTTGAAAGAGAATTGACATAAAAAACTAATTTAAAGTTGTCATGGTTTTTGTATATTATTTCGCTTTTTAATTTCCTACAATTATTGCAGAAAAAAATTTCTTGGACTTTATGATACAAATGATTTTAAGTTTATTCACTAGAGTAAGCATCAGTCACAAAAAAATAACTAAGTTTGGATTGATGCCTTCCTGTTTATGATAGAGCTGTAGATTTATAAGCTTTGTGAAATAATAATTTTTCTCTACAAGTACAAATAAGTAAGGTGGGACAGATCCCCCCCCCCCCAGTCTTCACTGACCATTCAATAATCACATTAAAATTTGTGACCCCTCTAGAAAATCTGAGAATTTGCTACATTTTACTGGTATACAATTTCTCTCTTTCTAATTACATTTAACATTAACAAGTAAGATGCAGTACAACTCAGTAGGAAATTGCACGTTGTGGTTGTTGAAAGATACAGATATATATTACTATCTGCAGTTAACTCCTTGGTGGTTTGACATACAACATGCTTCTTTTCATCTGCAGTACAACTCATTATGCTTTCATTCCTGTAATCAGTTATTACAGTTAACTACTATTCAACTACACATTATTTGTTAGAACTTGAAACATTCTACAATCATTATTTGCATATCTGTGAGAGGTGAGAAAAAAAAAAGCATATCACTCCAAAATACATTATTTTCATTCATAGAAACTCATGCCTGTAATATTGCTGAATAGTCTGAAAATTATTGTTAGTAAAATCTCTTGTAATTATTATGCATATATTTCATGTTAGGTCACAAAACTGTTATGTCTAGGGTTAGACAGGAGTTACTGAATCAAATGTTGGTGGATTGTCATGGTTCTGGCTGAATTGTAAATCATCTTGCAAGACTGTTATAATGAGAGTAAATAATAGTAGGAAAAAACACATCTGTTTTTCCCAGCATATTGAACACCCAGAAATTTCCTTTGGATGCCAAAATTTGAATGTGTGAAAGTCTCTGGGTTGTCTATGCTTTGATTACATATGCTAAAAAAATTGTTTCCGGTGTCTACCCAACTATATTTTATTGCTGTGACTGTAAAAAATGTTTTCAGTGTTTTTTGAGTTAAATTTTGGCATGAGCTTAAAATTTAAATTGCCTTCTAATGACCACAAGAGTAAAATCATGCCCTTCACTAGCCAGTCTGTCCTCATTAACATTGTTAGAAATTTAATATCTTGGTTATTGTAATAATTAACCAAAATATTTGGAATACATTGCCATAATTTTTAACACTTTTTAGACAAATCCCGTGTAATATGCATCTCATAGATAAACAAGACAAACAGTAAATAGATGTACAATCCAAATACCCTGGTTTGGAACATGCAGTTTATAACATTGTGATAAAGTTGCATAGTTACAATGACATTTAACATGTAATACAGTGTTTTTAGACTTCCAAGTATTTGAATGGGGCTTCCAAAATTGATGCCCTAAACTTTCTGCTTTTGCAAGTTAGTTGAAGGACTGGGCTGATCATTGGCAACTGAATAATAATTGGATGATTTTCATATTGACAGATCTCTAATCATTGTCGTCAACCTGAGGTTTCTGGATTGTGTTTTAGGCTTAAGGGCAAGTATTGATCAGAAGGGATCTATATTTTAATGGCTAGAATAGAGAATTTCTTACCTGAAACTTGAGCTCAGTTATCTTAAAGTACTAGTCTAGTGTGACCCGAGTTTCCCAAGATTATAGCTTTGACAACAGGTTTCTTAACAACCTAATTCATTATATAGCACATCTTCAAATAAAATTTCACACTCTTAACATTTTAGGAAACCGTCTAAATATATAGACAAAATCTGGTTGATATTAATATGTGGCAAAATTAACTAGTAGTAAAATAGTGTTTATTTTACATTTTTTCATGTTTTACTTTTCTTTGAGGTGTTATGTATAGAAATGACAAATTAAGACTAATGTTCTTTTTATCTAAAGTGATGTACCATACTGACATTACAAACTTACTCCTTCATTAATGTTATCTAGATAGTGTTTAAAAGGTTCCTCATGATAATAGAATGTGTTCCTCAAATTAAAATTATTTATTGGACTTTTATCCCCAGGATGGTGCAACATGTGCTTCAGGATCAAGAGACCACTGTTTGAAGATTTGGAACCTAAATAAACTTGATTGTGTGACACAAGGTTCTGAATCTGACTTTTTACCTTGTTTATCTCTTGTGAAAGTGGATGCACACAGTGTAAGTTGGCAAACATTTGTTAATTGTATGCATGAATATAAAACACTCAAATAAGATAGGTAAACTTTGATTATAGATAATATAAAAGTATGAGATTATTTATGGGAGTGATTAGTCAAATACTGTTTTATAAGACATAATATTAAAATGTAAAATGTTTACCGTTAAAAATGAAACAAAAAATCTTCCATCCTTAACAGTACTTCAGTGACCTATACAATGAGTTTTCTTAAACAAGCCATCTGGCTTACTGTTCATTTGTTACCATAAAGAAGCAAGCATATGGGAAGTGTAAAGCCTAGTGAATATCTTGTACCTTATAGGAACATGTTTCTAGCAAGAATTGCTCCGCTACATAAGTCCAGTATACTGAATTCAAAGTAACTTCTTTATCACCAAAGTTAATTCTTCTTGATCTTATGTAATTGACACTTAACATTTACATATAGTGCTCAAGTTAAGATGTGTATCCATATAAATACACAAATATACTTTCTTTTTTCATAAAAATGCTTTAGAAATAAAAATTGTGCATCTAAAATATGCATATTATTTGCTGGTATGTATATCATTAACATAAATGGGTGTTATTGCCAGTTTGAAAGAAACAAATACATTTATCAGTAATTAAACAAAGATAAAATATGGGAGATCACCATAAACTGATTGACAAGTTATACAGCTTTCTGATACAGTACTCCCCTCTTCTCACAAGATTAGCTATTCTCGTCCAGTGCTGTCCTCTGTATACAAATTTTTTCGTTACACATACCACAAGCCTTCTGCTCGCCCCTATTGGAATCGAAAGATTCCATCATGTCTCTCATATAAATCATTGTGCATCACTTCTCCACCAATGGGAGCATGACATACAAGATGTGACTCCCACCATATGCCTTTAACAAACTATCACTTCTCATTTGGCAGTGCTTGTGCTTGGACTTGTTCCTTTCTGTGTTTTTAAAGTTTCACGTTGGTCTTTAGTATACTTGCGAAGTGATTTTCGTTTATTTTCACTTCTAGTTTCTATTAAGAAAGTCAGATTGTTATTTATATTTTTGATTATTGGTTGACTCTTCCTCATTGTGAATTTTGAAGTTCATGTTACCACTTCGGGGGATCACACCTGGGACTAGCACTATGTCTCAGGCATCAGGTGCGAGCAACCCAGCAGGAGATTTGTTCGCATTTATTTGTCAGGAGATTGAACATTACATGGGTCATCTTCTGTCTCCAGTCCTTGCCACACTTCCTCCCAAACGAGCTGAGCCTGTTCAGGTGGATGAAGACTTGGATTGCCTATTTCCACCTCTTAATTTTACTGTGCCTTCTCATGCCCAACTGAGGAGTCAATTAGGCCTAATATGGTCTCTTTGAATTTCGTTTTTCAGGTATGTAACGTTTTTTCCCATTCCTTATTTCCAATGAACTACATCTTTCCTTCCTACATGACCAATCTTCCAATCCCTATTTGCCCCCCCCCTCCACGGATATTCGGGTACATGCTGACCAACTTGTCTCACAATTAAGTGACAGGATTAGCATGGCACGCCCACCACTGGCTTTGAATCAGTCTGCTCTTGCATGTCATCATGCAGGCTGTCCTTTTCTGGACCAACATATGTTAGGCTCCATTTTGCCTGTTTGGGGTGTAGCCTCCAAATCTCCTGTAAGTCTGACCCATGCCCAATTTTCCTACCTTCATCTTACCTTTGGGTACATGCTGACCAATTTACCTCACAATTAAGTGACAGGATTAGCATGCCTTGGCCTCCACTGGCTTTGGATCAGTTTGCTCTTGCATATCATCATGCAGGCTGTCCTTTTCTGGACCAGCATTTGTTAGGCTCCATTTTGTCTGTTTGGGGTGTGGTTCCCAAATCTCCTGTAAGTCTGACCCATGCCCAATTTTCCTACCTTCGTCGTACCCTCGCAACTCTCTACCATCGTCCACCTCTCTGAGGCTTTTCACTAAAATCCTCAGGTGTTTTCTGGGGACATCTTCTCCCTTCTTTCCTTCACATTGGCTTGTTCATTGTCTTTGGCTCTGGCTTTACATACATATTTTCTCTGTTGTTGGGACCTTCTAGGTTGTGATCCTACCTTAACTAGCATCCGTTTACCATCATCTTATCTTCGGGACTTACGTGTGGCCCCTATTTTTGCGGCAGTACATCTTTGAAATGATCCCTGAGTCTTTAGAATTATAAATTGCATCAATACAAGAACAGTCTACCCTTTTCAACATAGTTGCTCGTTTTTCTCAGTCAAAGCCCAATATGGCAACTGTTACCATTTCTCATCCCTCCCCTTCCCAACCCTTATCTGTCCCCTCTTCTTGTGGTGCATCTCGTCATTTTCTTTGACGATTCATATCACATAACCAATAGCATTGGTAACTACCTGGTTGGTTCTGGTCCGGTGGGAGCATGGCTTCCTGATTTTCTGATCATTTGGCATCCTTTCATTAAGGATCATTGGGTTCCTAAATTTTATTGGAAGGATTCGTGATCCCATTTTCTTTGCCACCTCCCATGTCTCCTATACTCATTTTCTTCCCTCCGCTTCATGATCCCATGACCAACCAGAGTCTATTGGAGGCAGTTCAGGAACTACTATATCAGCAGGCTATACAATCTGTTCTATATCCTTCATCAGGTTTTCATTCCAGACCCTTGATTGTTCCCAAGAAAACTGGGGACTGGAGGCCTGTCAAGGATTTGTCCTGCCTCAATCACTTCATTCAACTGGCCCGTTTTACCAATGAGTCATTTCTCACCCTGTGGTGGGTGTTTTCTTCAAGCTTATAAATGATCAAGATATATGTCACCAATGCTTATCTCCACATCCCTATATCACCATGGTCTCATCCATTACTTCAATGCATCCATCACAGGGTGGTTTATCAATTTTGGGCCTGCTTTTGCCCTTATGTTTTCTGTTGGGTGGTCAGAGCTTTTGCTCACCGTCTTTATGCTCTGCGGTTGCGATTACACCATTATACGGGCAACTGGCTTCTTGTGGCTCATTCAAAATGGGAGTCGGCCAGTCATAATTGTCAGCTCCTTCTAGTGGCTGCTTGGGGGAACTGGTTAATCAAATTGGAAAAGTCCTTCCTCTGACCTACCTAATATCTCGTCCACATGGGTGTCTTTTTCAACACTCATCTCAGTTGAGCCCAACCTTCTCCTCTACAACTTTGTTCCATGATATTGTTAGAGATAGGTTGTTCCACAAGATCGCTTGTAAATGAATAACCTTGTGATGTAATTGCTTCATAAACTTGCCCATTCTGGACCTCACCACCCATGGAATGCATGGATAAAGCAGAAGGGAATAGTGGCCCATCCCTGCCATGCCTTGTATTGAATAAATTGGTATAGTCTGCTTTTCTAAATAGGGTTTCGTGGTCACCCATTGCACTGTCTCAGGTGATGACGTTCCTCC